TCGGAAGACAATTGATTTGGACCAATTTGAAAAAAGTTGTTCTATTTTAAAGGGTGCTCGATTACTTTTGTTTCCCACTGTACGTATTATACTTCTCACGGATGGAATTAACACGTTCGTCTAACATCGTGTTACATTGAAAAATATGAGTCACTGAACACGATGGGTTTCCATTCAGTGGTGTGTTCTTTAATTTTTTTTATCTGGTATTAACTATGATCTGTCCAGTAAGAAGAGTCAGACGAAATAACAAAAACTTCGCGCGATGAATCTTGCTATTCATTGGCAGCAATCTCTGTCCCATCTAAATGGTAATCTCTTCCATTTGTTTACACTTATTGACTCGACTCGTTGGATGGGGTATGGACTGCGGAATTTTATGCGATTATAGCTTACTCGACTGTCTGAAATTTAGTATAATGAGCAGTTTGACAAATATTTGTACAGTTTTCATTTTATCTAGGAGCTCATTGAACCTCCAATGCAGAATCTCTTGTTTGTTTACAGTTTTTAGAAATGAATCTTTAAAGAATGATATTCGCATAAAATTCCACAGTCTAAATAGTAATAACAATTTTTAGTACCAAGGTGGAGTCTTACAGATTCTACTTTTCTGTAGTTTCATCAATTTCAGTTAACCCTCATTTCCCAACTTAATTTGTCCCTCAGTATAAAAAATTAATATAACAAAAAGACAAATAGTCAAATTTGAAATTTCTGTAAAATAAAAGCCACAGAGGAGTTTCAGTTAAATTTATCTGCACATGACAGAATGACATCATTTCTTCAGTTAATTCTGAGATATTAGTACAATGCACATGTCTATTCTGTGACAATTATAAAATAGAACAGTGAAAAGAATTGCCAAGGAAAAGTATAAACAATCTAAAAATTCAAAAGTATTGTAGACTTCACCTTGGACTTCACAAAATAAGAATTAATCCTGTTAAACAGGAATAATTAATAACATAAAATTTAGGTCAATATTATAAATTACACTTTCGCTTTGATCCAATAAATTTTGCTTACTTTGAAATCGAAACGTTATGTATGTACGTGACGCTGCTAACGAACGTGTCAATTCCATTTCGATGACGGGTCTTTGAGCGATTGATCATTTCTTGCTTGTCCCATTCCATTTAAATTCAGTTCAACGCGACTGTGGGAAATTAAATGCACAGGATTTCCAGGAAGAGTTTGTTTTCCTGTAGATTTCCAGCTCGGAATATTTACATTATACGCACGCACATACAGTTGGTGACAAAAGTATCCAAACACCCTTTTGAAACAGAACAACTGTTCTAAAATTGGTCCAAGTGACTTGAGTTCTTTTGTGACGTTAGGAACATTAGTTTACTGAATGACGTGTAAAAAAAATTTGAAAAAGTTGTTCTGTTTTATAGGGTGTTCGAATACTTTGGTTACCCACTGTATATGAGAGATAGAGAAATTAGTGTTACTACAGAAAAAGGGAGAACTGGACGTGACTTTGCTGTACTAAAGACATCGAGTATTATTGTGACTTCAATTAACCAATTAAGAACTGTTATGTCGAGTTGGGTAAATTTTCAGATTAAACTGCAGGACCCTTTGCAACATGTTTCAAGGTTCTAGAGTATCGAGAAGTTAAAGGAAATTGAAACGGTTATTCAGATTGAAACTTCATATCTTCTTTCATCAATTAAGCGAGTTAATTTGATTAAGCTTTGAACCTCGAAGTTTGAACACAGATGATTTATCAGTCAAGTGAAACTGAATCTAATACATTTTTATTTAAACTTGCTTTTCTGAAACTTTACTGTAACTTATCATCAATCAAAAATTGCTGTACAGAGCTAATTCAATTAGCCTTCCATTAATCTTTTTGTCATTCTACTGTGCTTTAATGTACTTATCCGTCAATTAGTCGAAAATAATTGAACAAAACCAAATGTAACGAATTAGTTTCATTTGTTTATAAATCAACGGTTATTTATTACAAATGATCGAAAACGAGATCATTTATTCGTCAATCGGTCACTTTAAGCAAGTCTTAGTCTGATGTAGACAATTTAACGAATAAAAATAACCTGACAAGAAAATTAAAATTACTTGAAAATGATCTCTGATCTAAAAATACACTGGCAGAAATTTCTATAAAGTCGCCATGTTTTTTTATTGTAAATTGAATTATAAAGGGAGGTTTAAATTTTATATCTAATAAGTTCTTTTCTCGATTGTTTCATAAATAAACAATAAAAATCAATTTCTGTGCTAGCAGAACTCTTACATGATTAGAAATAGGACTATTGACCCTATCTGTATCTAAACACAGGAAAGCAAACCAATGACCCCAGTGGTCCAAAAGAAGACTCACGGAAATTGGTCGCACTCGTCGCGACATTCCCGATTCCACCCAAAATCGCCGGCAAAGGTTCCTCCGGTTGCGTGTAGACTTCATGAAGGGACAGAAAGAAACACACCGTCATCAAAACACTTCGCAGCGCGCGGTACTGCATCACGAATGAAAAGAGAATGACGAAAAGGCGGCACTTTGTGTAACTGGAGGATCGGTCGGTTTAATCGGTCGAAAGGATCGCACGCTTGGAGCCTGCCATTTACACGAACCGCTCGCGAAGAGGCAGAGAAACCTACTGGCAAGATGAAAGAGCAGTCAGCAGCGGTGCACGAGCAGGACTGCCAACACTGTGTTTGTTAGTTTGTGTGTGTATATATTGGTGTGTTTTGGCCTCGTGCACGTGCACGACTGAGCAGCGAAAGCGAGAGCGCTATAAACCTGGTCCCAAGAATGGTATACCCCCTCCCAATTCGCAGTTCTGGGTGACTGCTGGATCGTAGATCGTGTTGTGATACCATTCACAGTGAACAGGAAGGATAATTGGGCCGACAAGTCGTGGCAGCGAGACCGCCCTTGCTGAACGAGATTACTTCGTTAAGGTCAATGTCCATATTTCTAATCATTAGACTGCGGATTTTCATGCAAAATTAGATTTTATAAAGCAATTTGTAAAGACACGGGGAAATGTAGGGATTTTTTTCTTCTGTTAAATATCTTATTGAGTGAAGAATAAACTAGAAAATTCGTTGTTACTGATGAACGTTTCGTCTTTTATTGTATTTTTGGGGAGTGCCCTGTAGGATATAAATGCATATAATCCGCAGTCTAATTATTATTTTGCGAGTTGTTTCTAGTTTAGGGCGAGAATCAGTGTCCTTTGAAGCAAGGGACATTTAAACCTGATGGTATTTAGGCTGGGTGGTTCAAAAGTCATTTAAAATTAAGACTATTTAAAAATAGAATAACTTTTTCATGTATTAAAAATTCACGACGGCTGTTAGATTCGTGATGGTGTATTATTTTGCGATTTGATGGATGTAAATATACGATATAAAAATATATGAAAATAAAAAAAAATATAATTTATTTAAATGTATGTTCGATTGTTTAGAATTTACCTGTAGATTAGATACCTTTATCTTCTATTATTGTTCTGTACTGCATTTTTATTCATTGTATTCGGGGTACCTGAAGAAAAAATAGAAATAAATAAACATGAATAACTCATCAGCCGTGAATAGATCATGGCGGTTATAGCGTTCAGGGTAAACAAGTACTACAAGTAGGATAATGAACGCTGAAATCATAACTGCCGATCTATTTCCGGTCACGAAGATCGCCGAACAATTGTGATTTTTGTAATGTTACGTAAAATGTTTGGATCAAATGTTAATCTTGGTTTGTGTTTAATTTGCATGTGGAATGATAATAATTTTTAAATAATTATGCGATGGTTTGGAAGTGATTAGAGTCAAATTTGTAAATAATAATTTGAAATAAATTGAAAATTCATGAATTATATACAAATAAAAATGAAATTAGGAAAAGACTTCATGATTGTAATAATTTCTTAAAATTCTTCTTAATAATTGTCTAAAAAATTGATAGGCATTTGTTTCAAATCTGTCCTAAGAATAGCTTGGATTCCCAGTTGTACTTTAGTCAAATTGAGAAAATGCTTACATAAGCTGTTGGCTATCAGAAATTAGAATGTAGTTAAGTTAATTTCATGCTACTTGAGTTAATGTATTACATGTTCTATAGAAATAGATTGAGTGAAGACTTTCAGAACTTTTTCTTTCAATTACACATGATATAATTCATTCATCTAAAGTAACATTATTTATGACTATTATTTCATATTGTTTCTGTATGAAAAATTGATGTGCAACTTATTTAGATCTTACCAGATTCAAGATAAATTGTTGGCATTCTCAAATTCCATTCTGAATTTTCATTCAACATATTCAGATCACCTACAATATCATAAATATTAAAGATTAAAAAAAATTATGTATAATTTACTTGTAATTGAGAAATGATAATTATTAATAATTTACCTACATTTCAGAGAAATTACCTTTCACCCTTATTTTATGTTTCATTGCCATTCATCATATCTAACACAGCTGAAAAATCATAAACTATTAGGAAAAAAATTTTATGTAATTTTTTTGCAATTAAAAAATTATTACTTTACCTGCATTTTTCCATTTTTTTTATGTTCTTTCCTTATGACAAAAATATCTGATTTGTTTATAATTACTGTAAATTTTTTAATTATTGGTGATAATTATTATATAATTTTTTTAGTTATATATAATTTACCTATCTTTAAGAGAAATCACTGCCCATCCTCGATTTCACGTTTAATTTTCACCTGATTCATTCCTCACGCCTAAAAAACCATAAATATGCATGAACAGAAAATGTTACGTAATTCATTTTCCGTTAGAAAAAAAAACCCGTTCACAATTTACCAGAACTTCCAAGAAACCTGCACTTTCCAGCATTATTTCATATTATGTTAAAAAATTATGTGTAGTATATTTATTATTTCAGCTCAAAATTGATTAATGTGAAACAAATAACGTAAATAATTAATAATTCACCTTAATTTAACATAGCGTCTTAGCCCGCGTCCGAATCATCCAAGGGTCACCGCCGTAAAGGATCATTAAGTCAAAAGAACATAGAGATCTGTGGTTCATGTGTATAAACATGCATGCTACCCTAAAGTCATAAAATACGTGATCTGTATGAAAAAAAGAACTAAAATGTGGTATAAGTATTTATCGATATAAAATTGTAAAAAAATGCTACTTATGAAGCAAAATTATAAGTAGCATTTATATTTTTAAGCTACTTATGCAAAATTATTTTTCACGATTTTTTTAATAAATCAATCCACGAATCAGGAGATAAGGTGGACAGTAGCAAAACAAGTGGCGCTTTTTTCGTGGTGGTAACAATGTTGATTACGTCGTCTGCTACACGGGTAGCACGCTACACGTGCTTCGCGGCGACGAGCCCTCAATGACGCAGAGATTTCTCTCAAGGAATATGTATAAACAAATGATTCAGAGAAGAAGAAATTTGATCTGCGTGACCTACGAAATCGTTTCATGGCTCTTATGGTCAGACAAAATTGAAAAGTACGGTTCGAATGTGTCCCGTCTCATAAATACTTTTCATTCAATTTTCACAACCTTCGAGTTAATAACCTCGCGCGGTCATGCATCGAAACAACAGAACGAATAAACTATTTTACTGAAACATATGCAACACCGAATCGTGATACTTTTATTAAGAAATCAGTGACGAAACGCGACAGTAAAATCTGGTGCACAGTGCATAGCACACGAAACTATAGTTTGAGCTATTAAATTTAATTGCGATTTGATAGAAGGTTAAAAAAAATTGTAATTCAAAGACTGTATTCTGAAATGTGACATAAATCTGGGAAGAGGAGTGTATGTTTAATTAATAAAATATCAAACAAAGCAGCCAGTGTCGTCTGCTGTCATGTGTGTAACAGGTGTTTCTAAACCTAAAAGAACAGCGATTGCGATTAATAATAAGCATCCTTCTGTTGACATAATATTCTGATATGTTTAATTGTGGAACCATAAACAAATATTAGGTGTCCTTAATATATTCCCCGAACCTCTGCCGGCACGTGTCTATAACCAAAATATGAATTATATCACATCGAAAAGTAACTCGATATTCATACCTGCTTCTGTATCTATATTAATAAAGAATGAATAAATTTTTGCATTATAAGTGCATGTTTACCTTTATTGACAAGTGTGGCGGGCCAATTTCCAAGACAGACTGTCACTTGCATATCGACGATTATTAATTGTTTCGATATTTTAAAAGTCTACTTCATTAATCGATCCCTCAACTATCGCGTAGATTTATGGGCACTTCTGGTAACAATTCTTAATGTCGATTCGATCCTTTCGAAAATTAGGGCTTTTAGTGAAATCTACGTCCATAAACTATATCGTGCGTTGATTTTTATGAACACGGAAAAAACAGGGGCACCGTGTCTAATGCAAGCTCGCAGCATGGGTGTTCGATGGTTTAATCGATTATTACTAGTAACATTTTTTGGCGGTATGCATTTTCTGCACATAAAGAGCTCAGATTCTTTTGTTAATTAGAATTAATTAAATTAAATCGAATTTTTGAGTGAAATTATTAATTCTTTCTTTGTTCTTGTTATTGATTGATACTATCGAGTGGCTTCGATGTTCGATCTGTGCACTTACTGCGCTAATCATGACCCTATTGTTTTGCAATATTATTGTAAAAACTGTATAGTGCATCTTAGTGAACGGCATTTGCGGGATTGCGTTTCTTTTTAATTTTCCCGAATTTCTAGACCAAAAGTGTGTTATTTTATAATCTAAATTTTTAAAGAAGTGTCGTCGAGTAGACAACCTATGTCATTTGACTAAGCAGTGAAGAGACCGGTGGAAGGCGTTCTTTCCCTCTGGACGTGTCGTGCTGATTAGACGTGTGGTAAGGAGCTAAAAAATTTCCTGTACTTCATAAACTTTTTGTCGCTGTTTCCGTATAATATCCATTCAGAGTCAAGTTTTATTGCATGTTTATCGGGATTTGAGCTTGTTCTTCACAAAATTCCATCGATAAGTGAAATTTACGGATTTTCTTAGACTTTCGCGAGGCGTCCTTCTCGAACGGTTTTTCGCATAATTTTTCACGATTGATTAAATATTGATATTTACTGCTTTCTGCGAATATAATACGAAGAATGGCTATAATTTCGCATTATTTTAGCCTTGTTGGGCCATTTTCATGCAGAAAATCAGGGCAATTGAGCTTTCTGTAAAACATCGAAATTTTTATCGCAGGGTCACGTGACAGTGGATTAGGCCATTTTTGTCTTCTTTATCACTTTCATAATGCATCGTTAGCAAAAGGACGCCATGTCTTCCTTTTCCCTTGTGGCTTCGGTACGGTGAACATCGTTTGGTGAGTGCTCCGTCAATTTTTTCTTTTTTTAACATTTAATATCAGTATTTCGAAGCGAATATAGCATAAAATCGCGTACAATGATTCCTTTTTCCATTTTTATTATTCGTATTAAAGGATTTTCGGGTATTTTTCTGATTTTTCATACATTTATGGGAGGACTTGCTACCGGTTACAAATTATACGTAGAACCTGTTCTTTTTTCGACTTTTTCTGATTTTACTTTACGGGAACATTATTATTACTTGTTGATTTGATAATACAACGGTATTT